AATGTGCATATATGTTGAATAGTGGAGGAAAAGAGAGATGAAGGCCTGAGGGAGGGGAGAGGAGGCAAACGAGTTATAGAACAAAAGAGTTCACTATCAACCAGCAAAGATCCTTGGTGGGAAAACTTTTCCTCTTTTCCTCCTGTTTCTACTTTAGCCACTAGCCACTCGGAATCTTTGTGCTTTTTCTCTAAGACAGAAGCGGTCATAGGAAGACAATCCAAGCTGCTGCACGCCTGCACCTGCTTCCAAGATCCAAGCTTCCGCTCGCTGGCTGCACCTGCTGCACAATCCCCTTCCAATCGAAATGAAATGGCTGGAGTTAGCAAACCAAATGGGTTTGATTTGGAATTGGAATTAGGGATTGAGGTGAGGAATGGGGATTAAGGAATAGGGATTGAGGTGAGGTGAAGCTGCGGGCAAGATTGAAGCGGCGGCACAATGGTCTCGATTCGTTGAAAGAAAGAAGCGGCGAACAAGATTGAAGTGAAGCCGCTTGACCTAATTAGAGTATTAGACTCTAATATGTGAATTTTTTTTTTTGAATTATCTGGAAAGACAAGAATACCCCTATTACATTTTAAATTTTAATAGGTAAAACATGTAATTAAGCTTACAACTATATATATCTAAGTAATTTTATAAATATAAATTTATATATATCTAAATATACCTTAAGCTCGAAAAGCTCGCGAGCTTATCGAGCATAATATTTTTAGGCTCGAATTCGATTCGTTGGAATATTCAAATAGTTCGAGATCGACTCAAGCTCAATTTGACAAAACTCGAGCCGATCATTTGAACGAGCTGCTCGATTCGTTGACACCCCTCTGCATCAACTAGATGAGGATAGGGGGACAATTGAATAGAGAGAACGGAATTGAGAGTAGCTCGTGATGTTTGTAATTGCAACATGAGCACTGCAAGAAAGTTGATCACAAAAGGACCAGAGTTGAGGAGGGATACTTGGACAGCATGTCTAGCTTCTCGTCATATTTAGCAAGAAAATGCCAAGGTTAGCTGTGCTTTCCTCCCATCTTGTATATCATGTCATAATTAATTTTGCATATAGTTTAAGAAAAGTAAAATGTGATCAAAACACATTAACTATCAAAGTAATTCTTTTCAATTATTACTTCTCAGTTAAACGTAAACGTTTTGTTATTTGAGTTTGAATTTTTCTAAGAAGACACAACTATCAAGAAACAAAGAAAGTTTATAGCATGATTTATTGGGAGAAAACATTCCATTAAATACTTTTCCTTAAAAATTGTATTAAGGGTACAACAGGAACGTTAAGATTTTATTTATTTTTATTTTAAATCATGTCAAATAATTTGGAACCAATCAAAACATAAAACAGGACATATTAAATAGACAGAGGAGTAACCCTAAACAGATTATTAATAGTAAGAAGCCGTTTGAACTCTTAACCTTCCGGCGCGGCCTAGTGGTAGAAAGCCGTTTCGGTTGAATCAACTTTAAACAGCCTCGCTTGGAAGTTGGGAGCGGTTGAAATTCGATTGCTCCTAGAAAGCAGTTCCGAGGTTGGAAGTTTCAAATGCAAATTGCAAACTGGATGGTCTGCTCGTGTTAGTCCCAGGCTATTTAGTCCCCACATGTTTAAATTGAGAAGGGATCCCTATTTGATTTCACCTTGGAGTTTTCTCTTTAGTAAAAAGTAAAACTACAATTTTATTTGCAGGTAATAGCAAGATCATGATTGATCTTATGGAAAATGAAACAACCCTGTGAATATTTTGAAATTTGAGAAAACCGTCCGATCAGGAAAGAAAGAGACTGACAGGGAAAGCAACTCAACCAGGGAAATGCAATATAGCCTATGGGAACTCGACAAGAACCAACCGATTCCCATTTGGCATTTGTCCTTCGGGTATGCTTTTTAGTTTCGCTAACCTTCTTGTGAATTTGGCCGCCTAATAGCAATCTCGACAGGAATATGGGTGAAGGAAGGAGGTATCTGGGTTATCGCCTCATCGGTCTTTGCGTTGAATCTTTTGCTGAAATTTGTTGTGCTGGAAGAAGTAGAACAGAAAAGGCCAATTGATCCTGTTACAGTTTGTTATTCCTGGAATTGTTACGCATGATAATGATGACTAGAACAAAGATCATTCCTGAATGCATATTAACTCTTGAGTTTTTACTTAGAGCTAGATGCCAGGGCAGAAAGCGTCTAATTAGCTGCTTTTGTTGCGTTTGCCGGCTTCGTAGTTTCTCTGGAAACGTCTAATTGCATTTGTCAAGTATGTTTTATTTTTGGGTTGATTTCAAATACCTCCATTGAGGTTTCCCTTAATCACACGTAGCATTTCCTAATTTTCGGAAATCACACTTACCGCCCCTGGCAAGACAATAATGTGACCCAATTAGAACAGGTAGAATGACAATACTACCTCCAATATTTTCATACTTCTTGAGCAGAAAAGGACAAGGAAAAGGAAAAAAAATCATTAAAACTAGATTATGTAAAAATAAAAAATGCCATAAAAAATAGCGCATACTTTCGGCACTGTTTATGTGCATATATAATCGAGAGGGGGGTTTTGAGAGATACTTAGACAACCTAGCTATAGAAAAACTATCTCTATTTTTTTTGTACTCCAATTTTCTCTTGTTATATGGTTTAATCTGGAAGAAGTGAGGGAAAATAGGCCAAATCATTCATCTGATGAAGGAAAATATTGGGGTGTGGTTGAAGTCGTGAAAAAAAATTCATATAAAATGTATCTATAATGGTGTTCAATTATCGGAAACAGAATTTTTGAAAAATTGATTAACATATAATATTCAAATACAAATCCTATTTACTTTCTGTTTGAAACCTTGTCATAAATGTCCTCTCCCAAAGATTTAATGAAAGAAAAACAAAAGATGATTTTTGTTTTTTAATAGTTTGAGGAATGAAAGCTGAACTTTCTCCTAGAAAAACAATATTTTTTTTTTGGAACTTGTTGTTAAGGAGTTGAAAACAAAAATTATAAAACTCAAAAGGGCATACATTCTAGCTCTAAAAGTTTTATAGGGAAAAACAAAATTACTATCGATTTTTCTCCCTAAAAACAATCTTCTTTTTTATTTTTATGTTATAACTCTATCAATTGAGTAATACTACTCTTGATGATTTCATCTTGTCAAATTATATGGACAAGTAACTGTTGTAAGCAACGGTCATCTGATGAGAAAAAAAATTATAGGATTCAATAGTTATTGCACTCTTACCCCTCAGCTTTTAAGTTAATAGTGCAATTGTATTTGTTTTTATTTTCATCTTCTAAATTTCAAAAATCAACTTGTAAAAGGGTAAAAGTGAGGGAATATCTATATAGTTTCTCTCCTACAATGCATTTTTTTAATTTTATTTTGGTTACATAAGAGGGTTGACAATTTAATGTTACAAAGGTTGTCATTCTAAGGGTGCTAATTGAGATTTCTGAAAACTGAGAAGTGCTAGGTGTGATTAGGTGAAACCTTAGGAGAGGTTTTTGAAATTAACACTTTTATTTATATATTTAGTACTTATATTTGGTCATGCGTCCATCAACAATCTATCCAATAATTTTATAAAAAGACAACAAAACAAGCCATGCCCGGCTATAGAAATTTAAAGTTGGGTTATTTGGCGGCAAGAAACAAAAAATTTATGAATTCTCAATAATCGCAGTGTACAGTTTTTATTAAAGATTTAATGTCCATCACAACGAGTGATAATTGTCTGATCACTATCACTAGTATCCCAAATAATATTTCACTTGCATCATAAACACATTTTTCAACCCACCTTTTTATATTCCCAACCACCTTTTATCTCACATACATCACATCACAAAAAGTGCTACAGTAATTATTTCAAATAATATTTCAAATAATACCCTATCCAAACAAACCCATTATTGTATATAGCTCTCAAAATTTTGTCCTTTCGCCATTTTTCAAAGGTTGATTGGAAGTTTGCACAGGCAATGCATGAATAACGAAACTTCAACCACTAAACACCAAGCTTATGCCCGACAAACACCAAGCTTCTTGAGTTCGCTTAAGAAAATGAGAGAAAAAAAACACCAAGCTTATGCCCGACAAACCGAAAAAAGACAAATGTTAAAGAGAAAAAGGCTCAGATCGACGCGGCAAGTAGAAACAACTACATCCATTAATTTACTTCAGATTTTTGGACTATTGTCGGAGGAACGATTCCCGCAGGAGGAGAAATGTCCTCTTAGCAGTGTGGATGCAGTCTTGTACTAGTATTTATTTAATGGAGTACTAAAATGGAACCAAAGCAAAGTGAATCCTTAATAGAGTATATATATTCAGCCTACTGATTTTGCAAAAAAGAAATTCAGCTGTAAATAAATGAACGAGTAATTGCGGACTTCATACATAACACGATACAATTTCATGATTTTGATTGAATTATTATCTGTTATCGTCTCTCTTTGTTTTTTTCCTTTTTTATTTAATTTTTTTTAATCAATCGTCACTTTATCTATATTATTTTATTCTATTCTAACCTAAAATTGAAGCCCAATTAGGCCTACAAGAACCGATGAAAACTGTACCATCATCGATTTGAATTTTTTAAAAAAGTCATATAATGTGACAATTAGTGGGAGGTTAAGGGTTCCTAGCCCACTGATTTTTTTTTTTATCTAATTGCTATTTGAGATTAAATGAAACTTCCCGAGCCTTAAAAAAAAAAAAAACTTGAAGTTTTTTTTTTTTTAATAATCTTTTTAAAACGGGCAGGTGAAAATCAAGAGAACGGACTTGGGGGAAAAGAAAGAAAACAAAAAAATGCAAAAACAAAAAAAAAGTGAAGCGTAATATTAGTGGGGCCCACTAAACTAATTTCCAAACGAAATACAGTTAGCAAAAAGGGACCCGCAATTTCAAATTTGAGCAAATAAGTGTGCAAGCAAAAAATGGGCGCTAGATACTACTTATGTATAAAGTCAAATGGTAATGGAAGGAAGGTCGGGAGATTGAGAGATTGTCGTGTTCGTGTTGGCTCATGGCTGTCTAAGTCTAACTAATCAGTAATCTCGCCCGTCTTGGGTTCGACCTTTCTTCCTCCCCGCTTCTGTTTCTCCTTCTGCTGCTGCATGCCCAACGAAAATTTCGCCCCCAACCATTTAACAACGCCTTTTTTCTATCCTTCTCTCCCTCCAGAACTGGGTAGGTGTGTTTCACTCCCGAAACACCCCACCCCCTCCACGAGGCACTTTTTCATTTATCCAATCCGAGTTTTGGAGGACCAGAGCTGCTGTGTATATGATTTCCTCCTCTGCATTTCGCGCCTGATCCCCCTCCCCTCTTACAAAAGATGTAAAAAGAAGAAAAAGAAAATATAAAAAGAGGCGTTTACGGGAAAAATGGACGTAGAATTGGAGGATCTCACTGAAGATTATGTGGAGCCGTCAGAAATTGATTGGGAATACGAATTCGATGCGGCTCGGTTTTTTGATTTTTGCTGTCCAGAATCGGACAGGGAAGCCCAGGAAGCGGAGCGCTGGTTTGCTGTGGCCGGAAATTATCCGGTTTCTCGTAAGACATTCCTCAATTAATCCATATACGCAATAGACAAGTCTTTGATGATTCCTTCTTACGGCTGTCATGTGCTTGACGTTAGGATATTGGCTATGATAATCCTGTCCTCTGATTTTTATCATCATTTATATGGATGAGAAAAGTTTTGATGTATTTGATCATACGCGGAATGCTGAAGCGGGGAAAGTCAATTAGTATTTGTTTCGTTTATTGTCCTGTTGGATGAAAACATTTTAGTAATTGGTTCGTAGCTAGTGTCTTTAGTGAGAATTTCCATCAATGTTATTACTCGTCTAGTTTTATCCTTCTCTGCTGTTTTACTTGCTGCTGCTATTAGTTATTACTTGTTACTCGTCTAGTTTTCTTAGTTGGGTTTTCAGTTGGAGCCAGGGCGAATTTGCTCTCATAAACTCTAACAGAATCAGTTTTGATTCTTTTGAACAAAGTTTTGATTTGATTACAGATAAATCAACAGTTACCTGGTCAAAGTTTGAGCATTTGTTTTATTATTATAATTATGCTTTTCATGAATTGTTGGTTCAGTTTTACTTACTAGTTCGTTCTCTCTCTCTTCTCTCTGCTACTATTTGAATCTTGTTTTCGAACTTTAGCTTTAGTGATGAAGTTATATTGGGGAGGAGACATTCAAGGGGAGGATACAATTACTTGCTCAAGCTTAGATGATTGCAAAAGCAGTAATGCAGATGTCGGTATTTGTTCTGACGGTTCTCCATCAGGTATTCAATTCTCTAAACCATCGGATTTCCCTTATGCTTTCTATATAATTTTCTTCCATATAAAGATAGGCAAAATCTTCTGTGTCAAAACCATGATTTTTTTTTTTTTGGTGATTTTTACTTCTTTTTCTCATGCTACTGGTTTGAAGTTACTTCACATGACAAACTCGTCCATCTATATTAACAAGGAAACCTGGTTCAAATTAAAATCGTGGGAAATGCCTTGCATCCTTTCAACAAGCCTTTCAGCCAGTATGTGGAAACTTTCAAGGACTTAGGCATTGCTTTCCACAATTCCCTAGTCCTTGTGCAGCTTTACATTCTACCACGGTACTGTCTAGGCTCCACACATGGCCATCGTAGACTGTTTAAAGATAGGGAATTTTCCAATAACAGACATGAACGGGAGTATTTCTTATGCATGCTGGTTATTACAATGTCTGGCTATCAAGCGCCTTCGATGCAAGTTTATGAGTAACTAGAGCTCTGAGATTTTTAATTCTGTATTTATCACACCTGTAGTTGGAGTTACGTAGATGCAGTTTCTCATCCTTTTTAGTCTGCCTAAATTGATAGCCTTGATTTGAGTGAATTAACGATGGGATATCTGAGTTGAGATATATAGTATTTTTTTTTGAGGCTTGGAAGTCAAACTGGCGAGACATCTTAGGATGTCATGATTCGTCCCATTTCTTTGGAATTCGTAACTCTTCAACTATTGGTTTTGCTTTTAATTTCTTCTGGAACAGAAGGTGCTATGAAAACTAAAACGACATCAGTTCCCAGCTCATCCAAACCAAGGACTTCCACTTTGATGAAGCCTACAGCTAGTCATTTGGCCAAAGTAAACAAAGCAAGAGATTTACTTTCCAGCCACTTATGTAAAAGGTTTGCTTTCATTTAAAGAGAGCTGCACTATCTTGTTTCTAAGGCATTATTTGCAGTACTGAATGAATGAAGAAATAAAATTTAGATTATAAGGCTCATGTATTGTTATGGTTATTTCAGGCCCAAAATTTTCTCCGGCCACCTTTTTTTTTTTTTAACTTCCTTGTGCAGGTATATGCTTAATCATTTTCTGTACCTCCATTCTAGGTTTCAGAAATCACCCATCCACATAGACCAGAGAAGCTTGCAGAAATCTCCCGGTTTTGATAACCTAGCTACCAAACGACAAAAGCTCGAGATTGGCTACCTGTGCAAGGTGCTATATTAGATTTTGATATCTGTGCCATCATTACATTTTAAACGTCTATAAGGGCTTCAATGTATTCCTTCCCCCATCAATAATAAAAAGTTAAAAATAAAATTAAAAATTCCCGTTCGTCCTTGTTGGTACTCCAATCTTCTCCTGGTTATGAGACTTTAGTTAGGCATCTCTATATGTTTCTCATGCTGTTTGTCTTGAAGTCATAGTAAGAACCTGTGAGAACGTAGGTGAGGCCTACATTCTACAATGATCTAGGAGCACTCCTATTCATGATTTCTTTCGAACATTGTTTTGCTGTTTTATAAGAAAGAGGTATAGGACCAAGAATCAGTTTCTTGTCAAAACTTCAAATAATAAATTCCCTCATGAGTTTACCTCTCTTGAGGAGTTAAGTGATCTTGATGAGATTTCTAAATATAGAAACGTTGTACTTTGCATCATCCAATTGTTAAATTGCTGTGAGGAATGCTTCCAAGGTGTGCAACACAGCAGTAAAATTAACGCGTTCTGTACCATTAGTCCTGCTGGAAACGTTGGGTTGTTCTTTCTGTTCAAACAGCATTTTTCTGGAATTGAGAAAAGCTGCTCCCATCTGTTGTCATCAAATTCCCATTTTTGGATTGAGTATTTAACTTCTCCCTTTTGTATTTTAAACCAGGTATCACATTTGAAGCATCAAGCTTTGTTACTCCACAAGAAATCCCAAAAGGTTCCGTCTACAGTAGTAGAACTGTGTAACTGTTGTGTGTTGATCCGTGTTCATGAGACTAAACTAGTTTGAATGTTTACTTTTTCAGGAGGGAACTGTAACTCCTAAAATAGCACATTCTAAGATGAAGGTAACTGTTCCCAAAGAGCCTGAATTGCAAACACAGCAAAGGGCGATAAACCGAAGGTACTCTCAGTTTTCCTAGCAGAAGTTGGTTTTCGTCATTTTGTTTATTCAGCATCGAAAATAGGTTTTGATATATATAAATTTTTTTTCTGTTGTTTAATGCAGGTCAAGGACTAATTCTGAGTCAAGTGAGCATTCAGAATTGGAGATACAAACCTGTAGATCACGATCATTGAACAGAAAAGTTGGTACTTGAAATAACATAACATTTTTTCCCTTTTGAACCTGAATTTTCTGAAGATGCTTTTCGTGGGTAATATCACTAAAGATTTGTCTTACATGCTTGTCATATATTTTCAAGGCCCATACTGTAATCCAACCTAAGAAGAGCAAAGCGCAGCTACCTGTGTTTCAAGTAATACTTTCAAACACCATTAATGCGATATTCCTTTTTTTTTTAATATTCTTTTCAAACAGCATTAATAGATAATTTTATATCATTGTTCCTATCAAATAATGGTTTTGTAGGCTTTTAATTTGAAGACTACTCAGAGAGCCTTGCAGCGTTCATCTCGTAATGTAAGCCAATATCCTCCTTTCCCAGTTTTGGTGGCTTAAATTAATTTAAGTCACTTACAGCTTTTTGACATATGATCCAACAAGAAGAAGCATTTCCTATCACAAGCTGTGAACTATAATGCATAAGAGTGGTTTTTGGTACCCTTGACCACGATGTAGCTGTTGGTTGTCACCCTACAGATGGGTTTAAAATGCTTAGTCTCAATACAAGAAATACCTTAAGGGAAATTGTTCACATGACAGTAAGCTTGCTTCCTTTGTGATCTGTAATTTTGTCCAATACAGGAACTGAAGACACACAACTCTGATAGCATTTCACAAAGTATTCCTGCAGAGCTGAAGAGGTTTAAAAAGTTTCCAAATTTTTTTTTATCTTGATCTTGAATTGAGGAAAGCAAAGACGTCCTCTTTAGTCACTGTTGACTAACATCAGGTTGATTAATCCTTTTACTTCACAGAAGCTGCATTCCTGTTCACCCTACAGAAGTCAAGAAGACCGGCAAGAAGTACCTCTTAAATACCAACTCTGATGAACATTTATCTTGCTTTACTAGTGTGGCAATCCTGAGAGCTTGTGGACTGGTTCCTTCTTGATTAATAATTGCATTGGTGATCGTATCATGGATCACTTCACTATCATTATGCGCCTTGTTTATGATTGGAACCTGTAGTGTATTTTCTTAGGTGAGCTGTATTTTGCAGATCAGACCCTGATGATGCTTTGAAGAAGGAAAAACATGAAACACCACTCAAATTAAAAGTTTGGCCTATCAGTAATAAGGTTGTCCACAGACTTGACCGACCTGACCAAAATGCATGATTTTGTAAAGCTGGGAATAATGTTATAATGAAGTTATCTTTTGCAGATTTTTCCTACCAAAGACGATACTTTTGGGACTAGAAGTGGCAGTGAAGAAGCCATAACGGCAATGGTGTAAAATGACATCTTATTTTAGCTTTTTGATCTACATGGTTTCTATTTGGCATGCTTTTGGTTCCTCTTTCCATTATATGAAACTTATGAGTTAACTCTCAACAGGACCTGAAACTTCAGAAAGATCAAAGGCTTTCACACAATCCACCTACCGACTTATTTAACAAGGTAAATTATTAGTTAGATGTATAGTTATTTTGGTGTGTGAGCTTTCACAAATCAATGATTGCAAGAGAAGATTTTGGGCTTTACAATAGTAAGCAACATTTCTTTGGTATGCGTATATATGTGTCAACGTTTCTTTGACCTTATTTGCCAGCTTTCCCTGAGATCTGAACCGGGGAGTGATGCAGTATCTCAGCCTAATATTCACATGTCCAATAAGGTCAGTTTCGTGGATACTATGGCATGTCATTTCCATTCATTTTGATGATAATTATTTTGTCAAATATTCATCTTCTTCACGATACAGGGATCAAAGGAGAATGCCCCTGATTGTTTCCAACCTGAATTTAGAGTAAGCATGTTCCGAGGATAAGTAATTTTATTCCTCAATGTGTATATGTGTACATGTGTCAACCTGAACTTTGGTATGTGTAATTTAAAAATTATAAAATATTTCCTTGTTATCTACAGTGGTGTGGCGGCAAGCTAAATCAATTTGGGAGTGGCAAGGCAATTCCAGGAATGGTAAATGAGTCCAACATGAGCAGGTAGCTTTAAAGGTGTCTGATCAATTATTATTGTAACTACATATCAAGGCACCCTCAATGTATTAGACTACGTAATGCTCAGAATAAATCAATTTTGAGTGTGGAAATACTACAATTTCTGTTACAGACACAATCAATAATGTCGGTAAATGATGCATGCTTTCGTATGGTATGATCTCATGGAGCTATTTGAGTAATTAAAATTTAGGTTTCAAGTAACTTCTGATGAATTCCTGTATTCTTTGGTTGACTACCATGTAGTGCAAGTGCTTTCTGAATCGTTCCTAAGATGATGCTGGAAGCCTGCCAATCTCCTCCTATACGGGGAGGGAGAAGGAAGTTTGCGGAGGGGGGGGGCAGGGTCTGAGATAGGAAGCCACAAGACTGAAACTTCTCTGTTTTCAAGTCTCTAGAGAGGGAGCGATGAAGAGAGGAAAGAAGAATGGTGGGATTGTAAAAGTTCTAAAGATCTAATCCTTGAAGGCGTCATATGGAAATCACAAGGACAAACTCAACACTGAGTGATGTCTAGTGCGGTGTTCTGTGGTTACCAACACTCGGGGGATACTCTTTTGCAGGCCAAACTCAACAATTAGATCTCTTTTGTGATTTTCTTCTAGTATAAATTCTGTTTTCCTCGCTTTCGCATCCGTGTGAACTTCGTTTTCTTTCTCAATATGATCAAAGATTTGAGAACTTTTATACGCTAGCAAGTAGTAAATAAAAAGTTGCATTTTCCAATGCGTGATAGCTTGTGCAGTTTTTGACGTGACGCATCTAATTTAAATGCTAATTCTCTCAGGAGGAGCTTGGGTATTCGCTGAAATAACAACACGGGGCTTGCAATTGTGTCGTCCGTGGTTGTGCTTGGAGACATATTGTCTATAAAATATAGCACGATTTTTCGGTTGGGTTAGCCGGAAATGATGGGACTTTGCAATTCAGACTTTGTTCCAAGGTCCCAAGAAGAGCGTAAGGTAACTCCCGACTTAGAAGGAAGGCAAAGATTTTTGTGGCATTCCTACCCACACCCCGGAGGCGAAGTTTAATATTTCGAAGCACTCTATTGGAATTGTTGCAATTCCATATTTATGTTGCAGAGAAGCAGTGGTGGTGTATTGCTTGTCACCCTTTGAGAATATTAAATTGTTACTTTCTCTCTACTTTTTCTTTGAGAAAATTATTCGAAACATCCTTTATATTTTATTGAATGAATTTTTTCATCTTTCAGTTTTAAAATGTTAATTTTATGCCCTTTATAAATTCAAGTTCGCAAAATTTGATCCTAACATAAATTTTCTATGACTTTTTATTCTGAAATCAACACTTGATTCACATGCAATAATTTTTATGTACAAAAAGTTCAAAAATAAAAATGGATTGGATCAAATGCCACGTTTTTAGGGAGTAAAATAAATATGATTCAGATTAAATTCTAATTTTTAGGTGTAAAAATGGATATGAATCGAATTATTTATTTAATTATAAATGAGATTTAATTTTTTGTTCCTACACATGATAGATTCATGAAAAAAAGTAGTCGAAAATATAAATTGGAATTAAATTTTACCAATTTAATTTTATAAAGGACGTAAAATTATTATTTAAAAAATGAAGAACGAAAAAATTAATTTAACAAAATATAAAAGATGTTTTGAACGCTTTTTTTTTTTTTTCTTTTGTGGTTTGCGCTGCATCCACAGTTCTGCCGTAAGTATTAACTAAAAAAAGAATGGAATGACGATTGATGAGTGCCTCCCATGCCACTTAGTGTCACTATTAGAATTTAAAACTGGCTTTTTTTTTTCCGGTGCGCTTATTGTGGCCGGAGGTGCAGTTGAGTGAGAGCATCGAAATCTGAGGCGGCAACACCACCCATGGAAAGAAATGGAAATCTTTAACTATGCCGGCACCTTTTTAAATTTAACCTTTTTTTTCGTGACACTAACTGCTATCCGTGCTTAAATTTTCCTCCCGGTTGAAGTAGTTTCCACTAGTCCAAAAATATTATTGACTTGCACCGTTTCGTTTTGGCCCCTTACTGGGTCTAGCACTCCATAGGTCATCTCAACCTGCAGTTTCTGTTGGCCACTCTTGTTTAGTTTTATTACAGAATGGGGACAAGAAGTTGCTGTTTTTCTTGTCCAATATGCTGCTTAATTTAATCTGGACAGAACGAAAAACAAACACCAGCAACATAGACAACGGTAAAGTAATTATATTACACAAAAAAAGGGATCCACGATGAAAATGTCTAATACAGATGCTGGCATTATGAACTTCATCAACCTTCAGTTTAAAGGAAGACCATATAACAAGCAAAATTTGGGTTGAGATCCTGATATCCAGCTCGCATTCTCTTCAATGGATTTGGAAAGACTCGAAATATTGTCAGATTGTGTTCTTTGATACAACTTCACCGAATCTCACAAACCATTCCGCATCAGAGGAGTTGTTGTCTGCCCGGACCTGTGGCTGCATCGTTTTAAGTTGGGATTGTTCCTTGGCAATCACAAACTGCGAGTAGTTACTAGTCTTGGCGGTACCCAATGCTGGCTTTGTTGGAGGGGGTGGAAGCAACGAGACAAGTACTCTAGCAACTTCGTGCATTGTTGGTCTCTCAGAAGGGTGTCGCCTGGTGCACAACAAAGCGAGCTGAAAAACCTTCTTGACGTGGCCAAGATCCATGCATGTAACAGACACTTCAGGATCCACAGCCTCCATAATCGTGTTGTCATCAGCCTTCAGCAGAATCTGAAAAATGTGGAAATAAAAGACAACGAGGGAGTTCATTATCTCGAGATTATCCTGTCATTCATACCTGAACAAGGAACACTGATGAACCGAAAAATTACCTTGTTCATGCATCTATTTGACACAATGATGTTACACAACTCTCTACTCTGTACTGACCCTCACTAATATTAAATTAATTATCTAATATTGGAGCCGGACAATTTATTGAGTCTCATAATTGAGACTCATTTGATGTTGTGGGGGTTCTGTAGAAAAGTTTTTCCCAGAAATGAAAAACTGAAAAGGCTGCCTGCCATATCCTTTCACCTAGTTCCATTACTATCTCATGTATGTAAAACCATATTTATCCATTCTTAACACGGAAAATAAGAGATTTGGCAATGCTACAGATAATTACCATCTGATGCAGGTTCGAGTTGTTGTCTACAGCCTTCTTTCCGGTTAATAGCTCTAGCAGAACCACTCCAAAACTGTACACGTCTGATTTTTCAGTTAGTCTAGAAGTCCTTGCATACTCTGGATCAATGTAGCCTATAGTACCGAGTACATAGGTTGATTCATGAGTTTTAGCAGCGGAAATAGATTTTGCAATACCAAAATCTGAGAGATGAGCCTCAAAATTTTCATCCAACAAAATATTTGACGACTTCACATCCCGGTGGATAATTCTTGGATTGCACCCATGGTGAAGATAAGCAAGCCCTTGAGCTGCTCCAACAGCAACCTTCAGTCGAGTTTCCCAGTCCAGTTTTACTTTCTTAGATGGCCCTACAATAATTGTTGCACTTGTACAGTTAAAGATTGCTTTTAGCCCTAGTCATATAATCCTGCTGGAGATACAAGTCGCTATATCAAATCAAGTTTTGTTTCACCTCATAGATGCGGAGATATTGTATTCCAGTGCCCTAAAAAGGCCTGATTTGAGGATCAAGTTTAACCAAATTAAGGAGTAAATAGCATGAATAGGCTGAGAAGACACTAACCGTGAAGAAGATCCCAAAGTGAACCATTCTCCATATAGTCATAGAATAGAAGGTTCCCAAGGGGGGAGAGAGAATAACCATGCAAGCTGACAAGGTTTCTGTGCCTGATGCTACCAACAGTCTCCAATTCAGTTTCAAACTCACGCAAATTGTGTGGATACTGAGTATAAAGTCGCTTAACAGCAATTGTTTGGGAACCTTTCAGTATGCATTTGTAAACTGTGCTGGAAGCACCGCATCCTATGATGTACTTCTCACTCAAGTTCTCAGTGCTTAGCATAATATCTTCATAAGTATGGAGTGCCAAATCCATGTGCAGAACCACGAGTTTTGGGGGGCCTGAATTGAGAAGAGAAATGCATGAAAACCTTGAGACGAATCAAACTATAAAATAACATGAAGTATTAAGTCATGTACCGCTTTGCATGCACTTCTTAGATCCATTTACAAACTGTCTTGGTTGGTTAGTTTTATAAACAGCAACCATCACCATGGACAGTAGGGTCATGAAGCCTAGTATTAAGCAAACCACAGCAGTCCTGGAGAATATTGCTGCACTCCAAAAGCACCAATATTACAACCAGAGTACCATGTCTCCGGCATCTTTTTCACTGCAGAAAAGTTACTCTGAACTGGCTTTAAAACCGAGGAACATACCTTTGAATTTTGAAGTACCAGGACTGCTTACTGAACCTAGCCAGTTCCCTCTTAACAGCGGATTTCCAATGAAACTTAACGAAAAAGGAATAAATGTCAAAAGATCACCTATATTCCTTTTTGGTAAGAAAACAAGTATACATCACCTATATGAAGCCCAGCTTGCCACATACCTGTCAGGTGGAAACCTTGAGAAGTTTCTGCCTACAGGGATAACCCCAGTAAAGTTGTTATAAGAAACATTCCTGTGGAAAAGATTTATCAGTAACTGCAGAAGCTTCAAATGAAAGAAAACAGAGGCAGGATGGACTCACAATATGGCAAGGCTTAAACAATTGGTTAGTTGACCAGGAATTTCTCCACTGAGATTATTATTATTCAGAATACTGCAACAATAACAACCAGACAACAATTATGATGATATTTACTAAGAAATCATTCATGATAATGATAGATGAATGAATATGAATTAGCAAAGACAAGAAAAACAGGTTAGAAACTTTGTCTCACAGTGACTCGAGGTTCTGCAACTGGCCCAATTCTTTCGGCATGCGACAAGATAATTTGTTGCAAGACATGTCACTACAAAAATACAACCATCAAAAAGAGGAAAACACATTTTTGGAAGGCTTGAAAATCTACAAGGACAATACTAGATACTCACATTGTCTGTATACTTCTGAGGTTGCCAAATTCTTCAGGTATTGGTCCATCAAGGTGATTGTAACTTAAATTCCTGTCCAGTCAGTAAGACTTGTTAGATCCTTGCACAAGGTTCAGACAAACATGTGATCTTCATTTCAAGGATATTACGTCTTACAATATAAGAAGATGCTCCAGGTCACCAACAGAAGCAGGTAATAATCCAGAAAAATCATTACTGGAGAGATCTCTGAAAGGGAACAGTCTTTGTCAAAGTTTGAAGTTGCTAAGAGCAAGGTTACATAAGAAAAGTTGGGACTTACAATGTGTCAAGATTGATAATATGACCCAGCTCGTATGGTATGCGACCCTTAAATTTGTTAGATGAAAGATTCCTAAGAGTAATGGAGATTGAGTTTACAAGGTTGACGTAAGAGCAAGCACGAACTGTTGTTTAAAAAAAAAAAAAGAAATCTCAAAAAGAACATACAGATATGTCAGGCTCTCCAAATTCTGAAATTCCAATGGAATGGATCCATTTAAGCGATTGCCGTGTACATTGCTAAGAGTATATGACAGAAGATAAATTAGGTAATAGTCAAAAGCAAAATTACACAAGTGAAATGCACAAAGGCAGGAATTCACATGTTAAATAAGAA